TAAAAGGTATTGAAATGTTTGATCAGCCATTATCATATTGAATAGGAGGGCAAGCCCAGTGGACTGAATGGCCTGCTCTTGTTCCTATGTAAAACATCAACTATTTTAAATGGACTCTTAGATAACATTTTGTTAGGAATCAACAGGAATTGTTCATCTATAAAAGTACATGTATTCCTCAGAGAAACTGGAATGTGGAACTGTTCGGACATTTCTAGGTTAAGAGGCTCTATCATACGATTTCTTGGAAATGAAAGGTCAAAAGGAACTGTGGATTATCTGTTGTTAACTGGAAAAGCAAGTAATTGTGGAGAAAGTCCAATAAAGCTTTTAAGAGACATGGCTGAATTTCATGACCCTTAATTACTGGACAACAGGCTTGGAAAAATGTTGGGATCCGTGCTGTTCAATGCCTAGCAAAAGCTTCTAGGATCAAGTTGCTGGGTGTTTTCACAGTCCTGAAATGTGAATTGTTGAAGAATGTTGCAATAGAAAACTGGTCTCTCTGAATCAGTAAAGAGACAATTAAGATGAAATAATGAAAAGCTCTCTCTTGTGAAGTATTTTGAATTCCAGATAAAGTTTCAAACATCATAATTCCTGTTTCACATTTGAATCTGAAATCTCATTGAAGATTTTCTATTATTCTTTGACAATCAGCAAGTGGGGCTCGTTGACAGGGAGTCAACAGAACTGCGAGATGTTAACCCATTCTCTCTTCTGAATTTGAACCCTTGACACACCAATGTTGTTCCTTTCTTTGCTTATTTTTCTAAATTTGTAACAGCTACACAGAGCCACATTGTCTTGTCTTGTTCATACGTGAATGTGTCTGTTTGGAACTTAGGGGATCTAGTTTAATTCTGTATTGCAGCTTAGTTGATAACCAGTTTTGCCACTTGTCTGAAGATTAACTTTCTTTATAATAAACAAGTTATTTTTGAACTTATTGAAGAAACCTGGTGAAAGTCTCGTTTGCAGCAAAAAAGGAGAAACAAATAAACAGGTTTGGTGATTAAAGACGACAGGTAGATTTTAATACATCTCGTTGAGTACTGATGGTGGATTTGCAGTGCATCCTCCCGTCATTCATAACAGAAGGCTGGCCATTTAAAGGATGTAATATCCATTTCAAAAAATCACTAAGGGGTTTTAAAATTATACATTGACTTTTCCAGGTTACAAGAGATAACATTATTAAAATAGCCACCATGCGCTTACTCGGCTTGAGAGTGACAGGATCTGCGCATTTATTATACAGCTCTAATATTTAATTATCTAAGAAAACAGTAATTTTTCAGGAAACAACAAAAAAATTGAGTCTTTGCTGAGATCTATTAGAAACGTACAATATATAGTACCATCGGAACCTGCCTTTGCCCTATGGAAAGCCCACAAGGATCTACCAGTGAATAATATCTTACAATCTAGCCCTGCCCCAGCATTGTCAAATTTCCTGGCGCTGAGATTTCACAAGATTAATGTTGCAATCCTAAAGCTGTTCCCACAATGCGAACAAAATCCAAAATCACACCCAGCGTACTAAGCTACACAGAAATCCCCAAGATATTAAGTAATAGCATCACAGAACGTGTGCATTCTTATAAAAAATAAATACAGGTAAACGAATAAAAATAAATGTCAGTAGTTTTTGTATACAAGCATTACAAATGCCGCAAATGAATTCACAAGATATATTTTGCCAAATTCAATGTCAAAGCTAATTAAAACAGAAAAATCTCAAAATATAAAGTGATGAAACATTTGACTATAAATCAGTGGCCCCAAAAGCATCCTCTTGTAAAATGGCGTGTTCCCCAACTCAGTATACACAACACAATAGGAGATCTGCTAGTTTACAGCATCATAAATTTGAGCATAAAGAATTAATGTACGAATTGTTACACTGACAAAATCTGCCACTGTGGTATTCTGATCAAAAACCATGAAAGATTAATTCAATAAACTTTTAAACAAAAATGAAACTAAGTTGTACAGCTTCCTTTACCACATTTTATTTGCTCTGTATGAACAGCTTTGTCACTGATGTGACAAAAATATCAATTTCTCTCTGAATACACTAGAACGTAACAGGCTTTGCAACTTTACATTACTTTTCTTGAAGCTACTCTTCCCGTCAAATAAAAATCAGTTAAAAATAATGTGGCATAACCAAAATGATATGTCAATATAATCTGCATGTGCACCATGTGTGACACATACGCAGATTTTTTGACACAACCTTGAAGTGATTTTGTATGCCAAGAAATGCGAGTGCAGAAAACTACTAAAAGCAAACACGGCAAGTAGTCTTTTGTCCTCTTGTCTCTAAAATCCTTCGTGAACAAAGGAATTGCAATTCTAATTAGGAGGAAATGGTTACTGGGAACGGCTTCCAATAAATAGAATTTCAGAAGGAATTATTTTGTTTTCCTATAATATTTTTATACATTGCTACAAAATAGAAAAATGTGCAACCAATCATATCACAAAACATAATCAACTTGTATTCTTTTGAACTGATTGAAGGGGGTGTCCTACTCGTTCGTTTAAATTAGCTAACAAGGAACATTTCAGGTAGATCTGCTCCATCTCTACCACGTGCACTACTTAGAGGACCACAGAATACCCCAGTTGCATGACTGTATCTTTTTGGCTTTTCAACTCTAACCAACCGAACTCTGGCCTTGTCCTGTCTAGGACACTACATTGTTATTAATCACCACACCACATTTTTATTCCTTCCTCACTCTTTCCTAGCAGTTGGTGTCCTTGAACATTAAGCACCTCATCTTCACCATTTTTGAATTCACCACAATTCTTCTAGCATAATCCTATCTAATATGATACTACTGTACTTTCTTCTGGGGTACTATGCAATATTCTCACATGTATTATTCCTCTTTTCTACTTCTATATGCTAGTGCTCATCTCTCTCACAATTTTATTTAAATCCTACCCAACTATTTTTTGTGAACCTTCCTGTAAGAGCATTAGTTCTTGTTGAGGTGTACCCTGCCCTTTTGGAATTAGTGCCTCTTCCACAGAACTGGTCCAAATTTCCCAAAAACCTGAAGGCCTCCCTCCCTCCTGCAACATGTCCACCCATGCATTGATTTTCCACAACTTTTTATTTCTAGTCTCACTAGCATGTGGCACAGAGTTGAAATGGCACTTCTCAGACAGCAATTTCTGGATATTCATGTTCACCACACATCTGTCTTCTTCCCAAGTTGTTTATGCACAAGTAACGAGCCCCAAAAATCTTGTTATAATTTTGACAACAAACTTGAGTAGATTATTTTTAGCTTGTTGTTCAGGTGAGAGCAGTACAAGGGTGACAACGATGAGGGTGTGTCACAATTTGAAGGAAGAACAGGAAACAAACTAAAAATTTCCGATAGGCAACAATTGGAAGAGGGAAAAGTTGTAATTTGTGAAGCCAGTTTTTCCTGTAACACCAGAAGCATGTAATAGCTTGTTATCAATAGTAACAATTATAAGACACAAGACATATAAATGCAATTACCTATATCCAATTTCAAAATTAATTCATCTGTATCTACAATAGCATAACTTAGATTTTTGATGTCACTTTGACAAAACCAGCAAATAAATTAACAGACAAAATGCATAAATGAAAAAATACATTTTAAGTATCATGTCTATATTCTTTTTCTAAAAATTGTGGCTTCCTACTTTTACAACTGGCCTTCAACATAAGCCAACACTGTGAATCCCAAAGGGTCACTTTCCACTTCTGCAAAACCTACACAAGAAAAACAAACTAAAGAGGTTGTATTTTCGTGAGGATTGGTAGTATTCCCCAAGAGGTGAGCCTAACAATCTCAGATGACAGCAGAGGCTGCAGGCTGCAAACACATGTTGGGTGCAAAGCCTGCCTCTATGCAACAAAATACTCCAAAGGAAAATTAATTTTGAAAAAGAAGTGAAACCAACTACAGGCCTCCAGCCACTCCTCATACCCATCTTTCTCTCTCCCACACACACACATTCCTGCTGATCCATGCCACTTTAAGCATTACTACCCACCCATATGCCACCTCTTAGACATAATGCCACCCTAATACCATCTGTTTTCCTCATATGCTCCATGCCACCTAATGCCCTGCACGCATCTGCATAACTCTTCATATCCACCATGCCATCCTAAGTTCCTATACCCAGCCCATGATGCTCACAAGATTAATGTAAACCCATGCCTTTATACTCATCCTTTTGTTCCTTGTCAGCTTTGACAGTTCTAATAGGTGTACACAACTTTTAAGCACATTCATTTATAGTTTTAACAATCCATCAGGGAACTGGGTCTGCTTAAACTCCTCTCAATCACTTACCACCTCGCTTATTCAAAGTACACGACATCTCAGAGACCACATCTAGAGGAATACCTTAGTTCTTTGAAAGCCATCCAAGAAAATGCACAAATAAAATGTCTGGTCTGCTTTGCTCATTCTGGATAGTGGGGATAGCAAAATGGGATTTAAATGTAGATAGCTAATAACTAGCCAATTAAAATACCTCCATGAATTATTGTCGTGAAACCTGAGCTGTACACAACATGGGCAGGACTTCCAAATTTTAGGGATTTTCACTGTGGAAGTCTGGGCCTATCAATCTATATGCTAAAATGGCGTGGCAGAAAAAGTAGGGAGATACATGCATACAGAAATAAATAAATACAGGGCTTCTTCCCCCTCTTATAGAATGGGCCAGGCCTCAAATTAAGCTACCTAAAATATCACTATTTCCAAGGGCTTGAAGAGCAAGACACAAACATAATGCCCTAGAATACCCAACGGTTTGCTTCAGAGCCAATGCTAGATTGCATTAATGCATGAAGGTTCCACCATAAACCATTTTAAAAAGCAGGGAATAGATCTAGAAGATCTGATGAAGAACGTATCCTCATTTTATTTCCATCTATTAACCAGCCGCATCCCACACCCTAATAAAGAAAACAAAGAGAAGTTACATACCTGCAGTTGGATCTTTTGCCAAAACATTGTCCAAGGCACTTGTAATTGATTGAAAAAGGTTCATCTTCTGAGTTGGACCTTCAAAAAAAATACAATTTGTTTTCATTACAAATCTCTCTGATAAATATTCCAGTTTTTCAACACAGAATAATGACTTTAGATCACATTGTTCGTGAATCCAATTTTTTAATAATGTTTTATTGTCCTGAGGAAGGAGAAAATATGAAACGTTGTCATTTTTTACTTCCAGCATATCATTTCAGAAATACTTTTTACTTTCACAACAATTTCTTGTTCATGGATTAATAGATCAGTGAGCTGATGCGAAAGCTTTTGATTTACCAATGAAAGTTCTTGAAAAAAGTCAACTTGTCACTTCCATTAATGCAATGACTGCTTTATGCAAAGATTGTTAACTATTTTGAAAACATAGAAAGGCATCTGTAATGTGGCATACACAAGATGTAATGAATCAATTTTTGGTGAAAAAGTAAATGCACGCTCATGACAGCAAATTGATTGATTGATTTATTTCACGTGTACCGAAGTACAGTGAAAAAGCTTTGTTTACAAGCAGTACAGGCATATCATAGTAAGCAAGGATGTACAGATCAAAAAGACTTAGACAGAGGCACACAGGTTACATTGCACAAAGCATGCACTTGGTGAGGACAACATTAGCAAGATCAGCATTATTTGAGGCTAGAGAGTCCATTCGTCAGTCTAATAAAAGCCAGGAAGAAGCTGTTCCAGAACCTGCTGGTGCGTGTTCAGGCTTCTGTATGTTCTGCCTGAAGATACAGAAGAGGTTGTAGGAGATCATTATTGGGGTACAATGGGTCTTTGATGATGTTGGCAGCCTTTCTGTGACAGTGAGCAGTGTAAATGGTGTCTATAGATGGAAGGTTGGCTTCTGTGATGGTCTGGGCTGTGCACACCACCTTTTGTAGTTTCTTATGGTCCTGGGCAGAGCAGTTGCCATACCAGGCATTTGTGCAACCGGACAGCATGTTTTCAATTGTGCATCTCTAGAAGTCGGTGAGGGTCCTTATGGACATACCAAATTTCCTGAGCCGCCTGAGGAAGCAGAGGCATTGCTGTGCCTTCTTGACTATCGCATCTAAGTGGGAAGTCCAAGACAAGTTGCCGGTTATTGTCACTCCAAGGAACTTGACGCTCTCCACCCTCTCAACCTCAGTTCCTTTGATTAGATAGGGGTGCGTTCTCCTCCTTTTATTCTGAAGTCAATGATCAATTCTTTAGTTTTGCCAATGTTGAGATAGAGGTTGTTCTCATTGCACCACATCACCAAGCCCTCCATCTCCCTTCTGCACTCAGAAAATGAAAAGATAACACCTACTGGTCAATTTACACCACTCTCCTGTTTGTCTCATATCATTCCACCACTGATCTCCTTAATGTTTTTAAAGGGATCCTGGATTTGCATGCTACTATATGACAAAATTCTTGTTTGCAGCTCCACTCTAAATTCCCTGTTAGTGCTCACGCTAGATTAAAGCCTCCTGGAGGGAGGAAAGGAGTAAAAAGGGGAAAAAAAAGCATAGGCTTTTGGATATGTTTCAAAGTCATTATTTTTAAAACAATTTTCAGATAACGATGAATTCTACACAACTCTGCAATATGACATCAGTCACCAGCCTACTACTCCATGTGGTTCATAGTAAGTTCAATCTGCTTCACATCTGGAATACATGTCCAGAACTGTATTATTATTTTGCTGTTTCTTCCTGGTTACTTGGTTTCAAGTAAACCTTTCAAATCTAAGTTATCATTTAATATTTTAGAATAAGAAATAAGGTTGGTGATGGGTAATACATTCCCTTCTGCATAATGACCAATAGCTATATTAAAATATAAGAAAAGTAATGCAATTGTTAAAATCAATCAATAAGTGCAGAGAAGGGAACTCCAGACCATGGCACTTGAGTTCATTACCAGTGATACAGGTGGAATACATGAGAGACTTCTATCATAGCAATATGGGATCTGGGGACTATAAGACTGTAGAGGATTGTAAAAAAAAATCATGAATGAATTTAAGCATAAGGATGAGACTTTCAAATTTGATGCACTGGGAAACTAGAAGCCAGTGCAGATTGACATGACAGAGAGATGAGTGAGCTGTATTTGGGCATGATATGATACAAGCAGAGATTTGAATGAACTGAAACTTTTGGAATGGAAACTGGTTAGGTGAGCCTGGCGTGAACAAAATACATTGAAAACTCTGATATACGGGGGGCTCCCAGCTTACAAACACTCACACATATATGTGATCCCATACAGACAGGTAATTTTAAATATTCAACATAAACACATTTCCTCTAGTTATGAACAACTGCTTTATATTGTCCTGCATTGTGTGCCAGCTTGCATATAAATCAGCTTGCAAATGGAGTCGGGAACAGAATCCATTTGCAACCCACAGGCTGGCTATCTTTACATGAGGAGTTTCAAACCTCATTGAATTGAGAACAAATCCACGTCATCTAATGACTTTAATTACGGCGTGGTAACACAGTCCTGAAGTTAAACTATTATCCTTGGCTTCGTCAGCAGCGGTGCAGCATCGTTCAGTGGTGACAATATTATTCCAACAAAGACAGATGATAGACACATAGCAAACAATCCATTTCAAATGAGATGCCTTCATATGGTGTACCTGCTAATTGCTAAAGATGCCAGTCCTCAAGAGGCAGGCTCTGTCACACTTACTGCACATGAAGCTATCAAGCGTGGTTGTCAGTTGTTTTCAGCATTGGTGTCTGTTGTCAAGCTCATGTAACACCTGGTCCTGGTGGTGACACATGAATTGGAACAATTTTCCTCTGGCATCCATTAGGGGCTCCCAGGTGGACTCCCACTGGCAAGTATCCTTGAAGCGGAGCTTTAAATATAATGGTCATCTGGCTCTGGCTATCTCACCATACAACACCTTCGGTGCATAACTATCTTCTAGCCTGTAAGTGTACCCAAGCCAATCTGGCAACCTTTGTTTGACAAGCGCTCACAAACTTGGGAGCCCTGCCTTCAAAAGGACTGCCAAATCCATGATTTTGTCCTGCAACGGTATACCCAAAATGTGCAACAGATGCTGAATGAAGTAAAACTTCACTATCTTTTCTTGATAGCTGTGCCATCACTGTTTCACAACCGTACAACAAGGAGCTGAGAACACAGGGGCCATAAACCATCAACTTTGTCCTAAGCATCACTAGATATTACTCTGCATGTATTTTAAGAGTCAGCCAACAACGGTAGCCAGGTGTATATCAAGTTTTGCATCAAGGGACAGATTGTCTGTCACCACGAGCCTGAGATGACTGAATTTGCTGACTGCTTCCAGCACGGTGTCATTTAGTGAGACCAGGGTGGAGATTCAACACTACATTCCATGATCGCAGTTTTTTTCTATACTTACAATCAAGGAGAACAAGTTCAGACACGTGAGAGACTGTCCATCAGTCCTGGTAGTTCAGTTTCCATCTGGGAGTCTAGCACAGCAACAGTGTAGAATAGTTGGACCACAATGTACTTAGCCTTCACTTTCAGTTTTGATATACTGTCAAGCTTGCTGTCCAAGGTGATGAAAGTGGACTCCCTCCATAACCACAGGGAAAGCAAAGGTTAGGAGCATAAAGAAGAGATCAAATATAGTGGAGCTATGAGAAGCAGGGTAACAAGGTGTAGAGCTGGATGAACACAGCAGGCCAAGCAGCGTCAGAGGAACAGGAAGGCTGACGTTTCGGGCCTAGACCCTTCTTCAGAAATGGGGGAGGGGAAGGGGGTTCTGAAATAAATAGGGATAGAGGGCGAGGCGGATAGAAGATGGATAGAGGAGAAGTTAGGTGGAGAGGAGACAGACAGGTCAAAGAGGCGGGGATGGAGCCAGTAAAGGTGAGTGTAGGTGGGGAGGGAGGGAGGAGATAAGTCAGTCCAGGGTGGACAGACAGGTCAAGGGGGCGGGATGAGGTTGGTAGGTAGGAGATGGGGGTGGGGCTTGAGGTGGGAGGAGGGGATAGGTGGGAGGAAGGACAGGTTAGGGAGGTGGGGATGAGCTGGGCTGGTTTTGGGATGCAGTAGGGGGAGGGGAGATTTTGAAGCTTGTGAAATCCACATTGATACCATTGGGCTGCAGGGTTCCCAAGCGGGATATGAGTTGCTGTTCCTGCAACCTTCGGGTAGCATCGTTGTGGCACTGCAGGAGGCCCAGGATGGACATGTCGTCTGAGGAATGGGAGGGGGAGTTGAAATGGTTCGCAACTGGGAGGTGCTCTGAGGAATAAATTCTTCACTCAAATTGATGAAAGTGGAGACAAATTTACAGTACAAAGTGTGTTGACATTGAACACACAACTGAGACAGAGGATCCATAGATAGCCAAAATCATGTAGAGTTCTGTTCTGTTGATGGTGCTAAATGTCTTCTTGAGATCTCAGAAAGTATGTTCAAAATGTATATCCTCTTCCCTACAATTCTCTTGTAACTAGGGCATAATGTTTTTGTCCACAGTATAGCTACCAGTGCAGAAACCACAATGTGCTTAACTAAGCATTGGCTAGCAGGTAGGAATCTCACCTATGAAGCAGAGATTATCGAATCTGGACTGGAACTTCACCAACCTGACGGGTCCCCTTGAGCTCAAGACTAGCAAAATCAGAGACTGACTCACAGCAGTTTGTTACACTTTATTACGAGCAGAGTGCTGTTGTGTTCCCTTACATTGCAATATTTACACAAATAATATTTGCATTGACTGTGCGGCACTTTCTGAGAGTGAAGGCTCCTATCACAGTATAATCATGATAGTTACACGCTGTGAGTAACTACCACAGGGTTACACGCCTGGGAGGATCAGATTAACAGTTGCTTGGTAGTACAGAGCTTGAATATTGATGAAAAGAGAGACGTACTGCCGAAGCTTTTCCTCTTCCACATTCCGTCCTGATGAGCTTGGCCAACAGGTCTCTCTTTTCATAAATAGTGACGGACCATATTGTCAATGGAGCAGGGGCAGGTTTAAAAGCCAGTTGCAGTGTGCTGCAAACAAGGAAATGTTCACAAAGTTCACAGAAAGAGCCAACAGTCTTGGGTCGACCGAACTTGCATCAGGATACACTGGGCACTGCGTCTCTTGCACTGTCAAAACTCCTTCCTTTCATGGCTCTGTCTCCCGTGTGTTGTTAGAAGAGACCCTTGCCCTATCATCATGTCATTGATTCCATGCAGTGAGTGAGAGGGAGGTCACCCAGAGTTATGTCCTCTCACCCGGGCTGGTAAGACAGACCAGACCAGCCCAGACCAGCCCTCCCCCACCGCTCTCACCGTACTGAGCGGGCTCAGGCTCCGGCACGAAGGTGAAATGCGCCACCGACCGTTGGGCCGTTGTCATCACTGCCGCTTGCACCAGCCTCGCGCCATTGCGGTGAAGCGCCGTTCTCGCCAGACCCAGCACAGCCACAGCCGCCATCTTCCGCCTCGTCCAGCAGACGGTAACACCGCTGCTGGCTCCCTTCTGCCGTCATCGGCGCTCACCAGGATGTAGGACGTTATGTCGGCCGCAGTGCATTCTGGTCGCTGTAGTTCCTCAAGGGATAAGAGCAGGAATGAGGGGAAGGGGAGACAGAGGGAGTCCATGGAGGCGTAAGAGTACAAGAGCAGGTAGGTGATGTCGACCTTGTACGAGACACTTGTTCGGCCTCAGCTGCAGTAAAGTCTACAGTTGTGGGCGCTACACTATGGGAAAGATGTGAATGCTTTGGAGAAAGTGCTGAAGAGATTGACAGGAATGAGAAATTTCAGTATTAAGGATAGATTGAAGAGGTTGGGACTATTCTTGGAGAGAAGAAACTACAGGGAGATCTGGTAGAGATTTTTCAGAACCTGTAGCAGGCTGGATGGTGTGGATAGGATGAAGTTGTTCCTATTTGTAAAAGAAGCAAGTCGGATGGAGCATAGATTTAAAGTGATGTGCAAAGCAAACAAGGATGATGTCAAGAAAAGAAACTTTTTCACACAGTGAGTCATTAGTGTGTAGAATGCACTGCCTGGAAATGTGGTGGAGGCAGTTTCAATTGAGGAATTCAAAAGGGCTTTAGATAATTTCTTTGGCTAGAAATGGTGCATAAGGATATGGCGAAAAGGCAAGGGAGTAGCACTAGGGAAGAGGACTGGTGCAGACACAATGAGTTAAATGGGCTCCTTCTGTACTGTAAAAATTCTGTGGAGAGAGTAGTAGTGGAAAGACAGAAAGAGAGGGGTATGGATGGACCTTTTCCGTGATATCTTGAAGCTGCAAACAGTGTTTGTCGATGAAGGTTGTGCTGCAACAAGAGACAAAAACATAAAGTTTTTCAATTCTCTTCTTACCTAGATGAATGCAGGAATTAAAGTAGTAATTGATATTTTGGCATTAAAAAAATTTACACAATAATTTGTTCAGAACTGCATCTGGAGAAGGCAATTGAGATGCAGTAGCTGTTTCATTCTACTTTTTTGGTAAATGATTATGGCTGTGACATCCCGCAACTCGAGTCAGGGACTGTACCTTCTGCTCCATTGTTTGTCATCTGTGTCGATACACAGGGACATTGCTCTTGCCTCCAAATCAAGTGAGACCATTGTTGATGGAGGGGGCATCTTATTCACAGGCCACTCAAACATAGAGAGGTGGGTCCACTGCTGTGGCCCCTGAACCATAGCTGGGAAGCCCTGATTTAGCACTGTCTATCAGACTATGGAGCTGTTTTCTTTGCATCTTCTCCAGGCCTCTCATGTACTTTTATGAACAAAGACAAATTGGAAGTTACATTTTTGGCACTGGCAAGTAAAATTTGCTGCATTTTTTGAGCACTACATTCCACTATACAAGTTTATCTATAAGACTATACGTGTGGCAAGACCAAGACCAAGACTGTGTATGACTGTCTATGTGCCTAATGCACAGCTGAAACAATGTACCACATCCTCTCCAGGAAGCCTAAGGGCCACGCGCCCAGCTGAAACTAACCTGAGCAGCATCCGTTGTGGCCTGCACCTTGCTCATCACTTGCAGATGCCTGTTAATACCTGATCACCCCAATCAAACTGAATGCTGCAGTGATGGGAAAGCTGGCTTTTAGTGCAGTTTGCTTAAAACTGACACAGATGTTGGCCAGTTGATTGCTAATCTCTGGAGAAACAAGGGGATTTAAATGAAGCAGCAGAGCAATTTCACACAGGTTAAGAGATAGTAAGAACTGCTGATGTTGGGGTCAGAGATAGCACAGTATGGAGCTGGAGGAGAAGGGTCCTGACCCGAAACATCAACCTTCCTGCTCCTCTGATGCTGCCTGGCTTGCTGTGCTCCTCCAGCTCCACACTGTGTTATCTCTTCATACAGGTTATAATGTTTTACTTCTTACCTGAATATGAGGTCAAGATGGTGCTAGCTACAGGAAAGTACATTCACCTTTTGGTGCCCTATCCTTCACTGCAGGTTAATATCTGAAGCTCTACCTAGCTCTCATTTATTCAGCAGTAACATTCCTAACTGCTCAATGCACATGTACTGTATGTAATAGTTGTGCATTTCCTGCTTCCAGAGGGCCCCAACAAAATTAGGATGCTGTAGTTAGTTTCAACCAGGCATTGGGCACGTGGGCAGCCATATTCAGCTAGGAAAGGATGTTGTGGTAAATGTCAATGGAGCTAGTTGCTCAATAAATTTCAGCTGGGCAAAGGGATGGTGCATGTCAGGCCTTGGCACATTGAAGTTAGGCCATCAATAATGTTCTTTCCAAACTGCACAGCAGGCAAATCTGAAAGATCTATCTTCTTCTCTCAAGACATATCTGCATCCATACTGCACAAAATTAGACTGGGGAATCAGGTATAACTTACTTTGTACTGCCTCCATTCTCAGCAAACAACCAGCACCACTTTCTGCAACCAAACTTGAGTGTGTGCAGGTACAGATTCTACATTGATCCAGGCTTGAACCATCCAGTTCCACTGCGTACTCTGAACAGAAGGAGAATGAATGATCGCCTGGCAGCAGAGAGAGCACAGATGAACGTCGACAGTAGAATGGTCAGCAACTTGAACAGGCTGAGCCTGAAGCATGGAGATTTGAGAGCAGCAATGTGAGGAGTTTCCAGATAATGTACCAGAGCAAACTATGGAGGCCAAGTAGCACCCCGAGTGCAACAGGGAGCTTCACAGTGCATCATCAGTAGGATGAGCCTATTGTGTGTGGTACCAGATTAGGATGATGGAAACGCTGAGCCATTTTCTCCTGCGTCATAAGAGAGTAAACAGCAAGAAAAATTTAGGGGCAACAAGATGCTGATCCTTTTGGGACAGGTGAATGAGTTCACAGTGATCCTCCCGGAGGCTTAGACCTCTGAAGATGAGAGTGGACTGCATGTTATCATCTGCTGAGAAGCCATGGGAAATGAAATTGGTATCAGTGGAAGCAACAATAGAATGACTGGATGAAATATTCGCAAGGTTCAGGAACCCTGAACAAGTTGTGAGTGACAATGGTCCACAGTTTGTGTCGAAAGAGTTCGAGAGAGTCAGAGATTGACATGATGCCACCCAGTGATAAATGGCCAGGTGGAGAGATTTGTACAAACCCTGAACCAGGCCTTAAGAAGCCTCACAAATGGAGGGTTCACTAGGACGGCAAATCAACATGTTCCTCAACAAGTATAGGAACACGCCACACACAAAGACCCAATGCTCACGGTGTCCTTAATGTTCAACCATCAGCTGAGAACCATGTTTGTTTTACTGCAGCTGAAAGATCAGAGAGACCGTAGAGTAAAATCAAGAAGGACAGATGGCCAGGGCAGGAACTTCAAAGTTGAAGATATTTCAAAGAGAAGAGATCGTCTTGGCCAGGAGTTATATGTCTGGGGAGAAATGGATTCTAGCAAGGGTGGTGGCTCAAACAAGACCATTGTTGTATATGGTGCAGACCAGAAATGAGCTGGTCTGGAAGAGACATGTGGACCAGCTGGCCGCCGCACCTCACCAATGGGAGAATATCTCTCAAAATTCAGAACCAGTCTGGATCGAACCAGTGGTGTCAACAAGTCATGTGTCTCCAAGCCAGCATTGGTCATACACAGGGAGGATACAGCAGCTGTGTCACAGGACAACGGCAGCCAATCAGAGAAGGAAACCTGCTGAACAGCAGGAGTTTCCAGAAGTCTAGGAGACTACACCAGAACAAGCTCCTGAGCCTAGGAGACGGTCTTCTAGAACCCACCATTCCCCTGAAAGACAAATCATATCAGTGTAGAATAAAGAAGGGATGGCTTGCAGAGTGGGGAGGAGTGGTTGTTCTCCCATGTTTTGCATGTTTTTGTAAATATTCCTGACTGTGTACGTTTGTTGGCTACAATGTCTGTATAATATTTACAATTGTGGTGTATATATGTTCGTTTAATATGAGCTTTTGAAATAAAGGGAAAGGGGTGTTATGTCTGTCGTTGGGAGGGGGAAATCTCGGGGGGACAGTCTAGGTCCGAACGTGTAGCTGTAAAGGCATATAATAAACTGTTTCTGGTTCAATTTCTACAGGCCTACTTTGTGATCTTTCTTTAATTCATAATTAGACCCAGATAGTCAGCAATTGAACACAGTGACTGACCTTGCAAGGAACTATTTGAAAACACTGGTGCAGCATTAGTGTTGGCCGTGTTCAGTTCACTATAAAGGCTGTCCCACTTTGTTGCCTTCACTAAGGCCTGACATAACTCTCATGTATTGACCGTCTCTATAGATGCTGCACATGAACTCAACCGTGTTGCTGAAGAGGGTCAACAGGATGCTGTGGCCAGCAAGGGAGCAATGGGAAATGTTTTTGATGAAACATAGGAGTAGGAGGAGGCCATTCGGCCCTTCGAGCCTGCTGTACTATTCATCACGATCATGGCTGATCAATCCTGCTCTCTCCCCCTAACCTTTGATCCCATTTGCCCCAAGTGCTATATCTAGCTGCCTCTTGAATACGTTCAATGTTTTGGCGTCAACTACTTCTTGTGATAATGAATTCCACAGGCTCACCACTCTTTAGGTGAACAATTGTCTCCTCATCTCCATCCTAAATGGTCTACCATGAATCTTCAGACTGTGACCCATGGTACTGGACATACTCGCCATTAGGAACAACTTCCCTGCATCTACCCTGTCCAGTCCTTTTAGAATTTTATGAATCTCTATGAGATCCCCTCATTTGTCTGAACTCCAGTGAAAACAATCCTAACGTAGTCAATCTCTCATTATACGTCAGTCCTACCATCCCCAGAATCAACCTGGTAAACCTTCACAGCACTCCCGCGAAAGCAAGAGCATTCTTTCTCAGAAAAGGAGACCAAACCTGGACAAAATATTCTAAGTGTAGCTTCACCGAGGCCATGTATAACTGCAACAACACATCTCTGCTCCTGTACTCAAAACCCCTCGCAATGAAGGCCAACATGCCATTTACCTTCTTTGCTGCCTGCTGCACCTGCATGCTTACCTTCAGCGACTTGTACACAAGGACACCCAGGTCCCGCTGCATACTCCCCTCTCCCAATTTATAGCCATTCAGGTAGTAATCTGCCTTCTTGTTTTTGCTTCCAAAGTGAATAGCCTCACAGTTATCCAAATTATACTGCCTCTGCCAT